AAAATGTGGGCTTCTTCAATTTCATTATTTTGACGAGCACTTGAAATCACCACGATGCCTCACATTATATGAGTCATTTATGTCGATATCACCACAATGCCTCACATATATGAGTTATTTATGTCGATTTCACCACGATGCCTCACACATAGGAGTTATTTCTGTTAAACTCGTGTAACCGATGTGAAGATGCACCGTCAAGTTATTGGTGTCCTGCTACACCGGAGCCGGGGCAGAGCGCAAAGACTTTCCTGAGGAGAGAAAGAATACAGACAATGTTTAGTTTTTAGTTAGTTATAGTAAGCGGAAAAAAGCACGGGAGAATATTGTAACAACAGGCTGTTGGATGGAAAGAGAGGCAGAAGCAGACAGAGGGAAAAGATACTGGACAAGATGACAACATGGCAAGGAACAGCAAGGACAACAGACACCATTGCAGCAATGCAAGACAGTGAAGTGGAGGTCCATGATCGCCCACGCCAGTCAGCAAGGCACCAGATGATGATGATGAAGTGTTGCAACACAATAAGGTCATATAAGTGCCGAAGATTAGATGAGTTACAAGAGAGTAACAAACAAAAAAAAGGGAGGAGAGATCAGGACGATAGATGTTCGATAGGAAAGAAGAAGCAAACAACACCAGAGCACCTGCCAACCACCCACACGGACATTGTAAGAATGCTGACAGTCGTATTACGTTGGTGGACTATATATATATATGGGGAAAATCACAATGACACATTGCCCCCCCCCCAACCCTTTTGGTAAGCGTTTTACGGCGCTCGCAACTCCAAAAGGTCATATGGTCCTCCATCTTCTCAAAACAGCATTTTTCAGGATAGCTCCCTTGTGCTTAAAAGTCACCAATTATAATTAATGAACAGGACTATGATTATTATAATGTATGTAGCCTACAGTCGGGCACGGATACTTCAAACATGTTGGGGATTGACAAATGTGCTCCACACATCCACAATTAATTCGGGAAAACCGATATCACAAAAATTTCAATAGATATCTGCAAGGAATGTCAAATGGTAAAAGCTATGCATGACTGAGTTTTCCTTGTCCGTGCAGTCTGTTCCCCACGGTACATAGATTACCCACACTATCAACCTGTCCCCGCGGTTTTATGCACCCCGCATAATTTAGCAAAATTTGATCATTTATTGCATAATTTCTGATTATTTTCCTTCATCATTCTTTGCTGTTGTTGTTGTTATCGATCCAGCAACAGCTGGGCTCTCGCCCTTCTGTCCAATGCCATGTAGTGATAAGTGCAGGTCTGCTGCAGTTGCTGTAATGTTCCAAAGAGTGTGTTGTCTATGTTAGGTCTTGGAGGGAGAAGGGTAGCTCTGATGTCATTTAGGGCTGTGCAGTGGAACAGGTGATGCTCCACAGTCTCATATGCATAGTCACACAAGGGACATATTGGGGGAAGTTCCGAGTTATCATTCTTTGTTAAAATTAACAGAATCGAATAATTTCCCATTTTTGGGCTCAGTTTGCATAATTTCAGAATTTTTCTTGCATAAAATGACGGGGACAGCAAATTGTACCAGCTATGCATGATGTTGAGTTTTCCTTGTCCGTGCAGTCTGTTCCCCACAGTACATAGATTACCCACACTACCAACTTATCACTGTGGTTTTATGCACCCCGCATAATTTAGCAAAATGTGATCATTTTTTGGATATAATTTCCGATTATTTCCCTTCATCGTTCTTTGTTAAAAATTAACAGAATCGGATAATTTCACATTTTTGGGCTCAATTTGCATAATTTCATTTTTTTTTTTGGAGCACAAAACCACGGGGACAGACCAAGTTATCAGTCATTGCTCCTTTCCACTGATATTCTTTTCTCATCTTTTAGTTTTAGTAGAGGTTTTAAGGTGCTCGCAACTGCATAAGGTCATATGAGCGCCAGCAGATTAGAGGTGTTACAAGAGAGTAACAAACATAAAAAAGAAGAAGGGGGGAGATAAGGACGATAGATGTTTGATAGGAAAGAAGAAGCACACCACACCAGAGCACCCGCCAACCACCCACTTTCTCATCTCTTTCTCTTCATGGAATCTGAGTCTCCCCATTCAAGTGTTTGTTGAATATCATGTATATTTTAGATTGATTTTCATGAATAATACCCCCCCCCCCCCCCCCGAACCGGGAATCCCATCTTTGTTTTAAAGCTGTTACACCAGAGTTTCAGTGTACACACACACACACACACACTCTCCCACTTTATGCAAAAGAGGAACTTGAGTTTCAGTACACACACACACGTACTCTCCCACTTTATGCAAAAGTGGAACTTGAGTGTCAGTACACACACACACACAAACACACGTACTCTCACATTTTATGCAAAAGAGGAACTTGAGTTTCAGTGTACACACACTAACGTACTCTCCCACTTTATGCAAAAGAGGAACTTGAGTTTCAGTACACACACGTACTCTCACATTTTATGCAAAAGTGGAACTAGAGTTTCAGTGTACACACACACACGTACTCTCGCATTTTATGCGAAAGTGGAACTTGAGTGTCAGTACACACACACACACACATGTACTCTCCCACTTTATGCAAAAGAGGAACTTGAGTTTCAGTACACTCACAAACGTACTCTCGCATTTTATGCAAAAGTGGAACTTGTTACTCACGTCTGTTAGCTGGAGACTTTCGTTTACTTTGAGCAGGTTTCCTCTCCACTTGTTTCCTGGGGAAGTTGAGAGAAGGGGGTTCGTTTGTTTTAGTAGAGGTTTTACGGCGCTCGCAACTGCATAAGGTCATATAAGCGCCAGAAGATTAGAGGTGTTACAAGAGAGTAACAAACAAAAAAATGAAGAAGGGGAGATAAGGATGATAGATGTTTCATAGGAAAGAAGAAGCAAACCACACCAGAGCACCCGCCAACTCAGTATGAGTTTCAAGCAGCTGCATAACAAGCAAAGTGTTAGGTTGGAACCCACAGGGTAAAAGATCAAGGAGAAGACCACTTGGAACGTGGAGAAGAGTCACGAAAATGGATGTACAGAAAAATGGGAAGACGTGGAGTGACATCAAACGACTCGCCCAAGATAAGGAAAGGGGGAAAGTGTTTGTTCGTGGCCTATATCCTGATCCAGGGTGAGAAAGATGATGATGATGATGAGTCTTAAGGCACTGCAACACAAAAAGGTCATATAAGTGCAGAAGATTAGAAGTGTTACAAAAAAGTAACAAACTTACAAAAAAAGAAAGAGAGGTAAGGATGATAAGACGTTTGATAGGAAAGAAGGAGCAAACCACACCAGAGCAATAATTGATCACCCATTAGGGGAGAAGGTTTAAAAACACAAAGATAGGCGTGACGACCTGGCAGTGATACAAACAATCACAGCAGCTTGACTACATAAATATTTTAGTTTTAGTAAGAGTTTTACGGCACTTGCAACACAATAACATCATATAAGTGCCGAAGACTAGAGATGTTACAAGAGAGTAACAAACACAGCAAAGAAGGAGGGGAGATAAAGATGAGAGATGTTTGATAGGAAAGAAGAAGCAAACCACACCATAGCACCCGCCAACCACCCACAATGTAAGTGGAGCTCATTACCACAACAACAAAAAAAACCCCAACACAACTCACGTGTTGGTGGTTGTGGCTGACTCCATATCTTCTGCTCCCACGGCTTTATCATCCTGCAAAGACGCAGGACAGAAACCAGTGAGAAACTGATCACAAAAGTACCGTATCTACTTACTGAACAATATGTGCCCCGACTATCCATCAACATTTCCGGTTAAATTTGCCCATTTACAATTCTACTGTGCATAAGAACATGTTAATATAACATCCCCCCTGACATAATGGCCTAAAAGACACTTCAGTCAGTAGCACTGCCCCGGGGGGGAGGGAGGAGGAGACTCTTCTTCTGTTTCAAAAACATATTACTTGATACAGAACAAAGTTTTCACCAACACCTGACATCTGATTGATGTGAGTTTGGCAATAAGACAAATGGAGATATTGACTAAGAATAAGGTACATATGTGACACTCTCACTGTTGATAAGAGTGTGTGCTATATTCAAGATCAAATTAGTTTACACATGAACAATGTTTAAAAAATGAAAGCAAACATATGTAGTCATCCACAAATCCCAGACAGCTACATCCTGCGACCGCGCAGAACAACAGCAGCATGGGTGAAGCAATGACCTGGACTTACTGTGCGACTGTCTAAAAACCTCACACATCTCACTTCAATGTGTGGGCGGAAAACTGTCGCATACATTTCAACTAACAATTCTTAAAAATGAGATCTGTTTTAGTAAGCATTTTTCGGCACACGCAACACAATAAGGTCATACAGAGAGTAACAAAAACAAAACAGATGGAGGAGACATAGGAAAAAAACATTACCAACCATGCATTACACTATCTCTCTCATTCCTTGGTATTTCTTTACACAGACAAGGGTTATTTCAAAACTAGTTTATACATGATATTAAGTTTTAGTTTTAGTAGAGTTTTTATGGTGCTCGCAACTGCATAAAGTCATATGAGTGCCAAGGGGTAGATGTCAACAGAGAAGTCCTAACAGGGAATCAGGCTTACTCTGCTCACCTCTTCTTTCATTTGAAAAACATATTACTTGATACAGAACAAAGTTTTCACCAACACCTAACATCTGATTCATGTGAGTTTAGCAATAAGACAAATGGACATATTGACAGATAATAGGGTACATATGTGACACTCTCGCTGTTGATAAGAGTGTGTGCTATATTCAAGATCAAATTAGTTTACACATGAAGTTAAAAAAAAAAAAGAAAGCAAACATATGTAGTCATCCACAAATCCCAGACAGCTACATTCTGCGACCGCGCAGAACAACAGCAGCATGGGTGAAGCAATGACCTGGACTTACTGTGCGACTGTCTAAAAACCTCACACATCTCACTTCAATGTGTGGGCGGAAAACTGTCGCATACATTTCAACAGACAATTTTAAAAATGAGATCTGTTTTAGTAAACATTATTTAGTACTTGCAACACTAATAAGGTCATAGAAGTGCCCAAGACTAGAGGTGTTACAGAGAGTAACAAAAACAAAACAGATGGAGGAGAGACAGGAAAAAAACATAACAAACCAGACATTACACTATCTCACTCACTCCTTGGTATTTCTTAAGACAAACAACTCTTAAGCCAGGAGTTTTTGAAGGGGAATTTCAGGACTAGATCCTGTTTCCCTTTTCCATACATTTGACACAAGACAACAGGAGTTATTGACTGAAAAGGAATTGTTTGTTTGTTTGAGTAAAGAGAAGCACATCTACTCACTAGTGGTCATTTAGTGCTGGGAAAAAGTAAGACAAGACAGACAGAAAGAAAAGTGGAGAAGTAGGATCTACCAGTTGCACCCTCCAACGACCTCCCTGAACAGGGAGTACATACGCAACACTTTGGCTTTTAACAAAAGTGAGCGCCATATTCAGGATCAAATTAGTTTACACAAGAGATCAAAAAAATTTTTTTTAAAAATGAAAGCAAACATATGTAGTCATCCACAAATCCCAGACAGCTACATTCTGCGACCGCACAGAACAACAGCAGCATGGGTGAAGCAATGACCTGGACTTACTGTGCGACTGTCTAAAAACCTCACACATCTCACTTCAATGTGCGGGCGGAAAACTGTCGCTTGCATTTCAACAGACAATTTAAAAAATGAGGTGTGTTTTAGAAAACATTTTTCGGCACATGCAACACAATAAGGTCATACAAGTGCCCAAGACTAGAGGAGCTACAGAGAGTAACAAAAACAAAACAGATGGAGGAGAGATAGGGAAAAAACATTACCAACCAGACATTACACTATCTCACTCACTCCTTGGTATTTCTTAAGACAAACAACTCTTAAGCCAGGAGTTTTTGAAGGAGCATTTCAGGACTAGATCCTGTTTCCCTTTTCCACACATTTGACACAAGACAACAGGAGTTATTGACTGAAAAGTGATTGTTTGCTTGTTTGTTTGTTTGAGTAAAGAGAAGCACATCTACTCACTAGTGGTCATTTAGTGCTGGGAAAAAGTAAGACACGACAGACAGAAAGAAAAGTGGAGAAGTAGGATCTACCAGTTGCACCCTCCAACGACCTCCCTGAACAGGGAGTACATGTGTGACACTTTGGCTTTTAATAAAAGTGTGCGCCATATTCAGGATCAAAATAGTTTACACAAGAGATTTAAAAAAAAAAAAAATTTAAAATGAAAGCAAACATAATAATATGTAGTCATCCACAAATCCCAGACAGCTACATTCTGCGACCACACAGAACAACAGCAGCATGGGTGAAGCAATGACCTGGACTTACTGTGCGACTGTCTAAAAACCTCACACATCTCACTTCAATGTGTGGGCGGAAAACTGTCGCATACATTTCAAGAGACAATTTTTAAAATGAGGTCTGTTTTAGCTAGCATTTTTCGGCACATGCAACACAATAAGGTCATAGAAGTGCCCAAGACTAGAGGAGTTACAGAGAGTAACAAAAACAAAACAGATGGAGGAGACATAGGAAAAAAAACATTACCAACCAGACACTACACTATCTCACTCATTCCTTGGTATTTCTTTAGACAAACAACTCTTAAGCCAGGAGTTTTTGAAGGGGAATTTCAGGACCAGATTCTGTTTCCCTTTTCCATACATTTGACACAAGAAGACATTGACAGATACCAGTGCACAATGAAACAGAGAAAGACAAAAGGGATGTACTTTAGCTAATCTTTCAATGATGAAAATTCTTTTTTGGCCTCTCATACAAACTCTTCTGTCTAGAGGGGAGATAAAGACGATAGACGTTTCATAGGAAAGAAGAAGCAAAACCACACCAGAGCACCCACCAACCACCCCACTTATTTACTGAATTACTGTTTTACTTTCTTGTGGTCAGTTCCAGCCCCCCCCCCCCCCCCCCCCAATTTCTTGGACGTAACGACAACATCCCACTGATTCACTTCTGCATAAACTCACCTCATTGTTGCTCTTCTGCTGACCGTTGCTCGGCGATGAACTTCGGAGATAGTAACCTTTCCTCACTGACGTCCGGCCCCGCTTTTTGGCACTAGGCTTTTCTGAAGATTTCTGTTCTTTTGGAGTTTGACTGCTTGATGGAGTCTGGGACCCTTTTTTAGCAGCTGGCTTTTCTGGAGATTTCTGTTCTTTTGGAGTCAGCCTGCTTGATGGAGTTTGAGACCCTTTCTTGGAAGCTGGCTTTTCTGAAGATGTTTGTTCTTTCGGAGTTTGAATGCTAGATGGAGTCTGGGACCCTTTTTTGGCAGCTGACTTTTCTAAAGATTTCTGTCCTTTTGGAGTTTGACTTCTTGAAGGAGTCTGGGACCCTTTTTTGGCAGCTGACTTTTCTAAAGATTTCTGTCCTTTTGGAGTTTGACTTCTTGAAGGAGTCTGGGACCCTTTTTTGGCAGCTGACTTTTCTGAAGATTTCTGTTCCTTTGTGCTCTGCTGGCTGCTTGAAGGAGTTACTACAGACCCCGCGGTCTCCTCACTACCGACCAAACTTTGCTGCTGAAACTCTTTGAGCAGTCTCTTGGGAAAGGCGTCTCTGGTAGTAGCCGTGGAAACAGAGACGGGGGTCGCAGCAGCAGCAGGAGGCGGAGCATCGCTTGGCGCCGCTTCCGATTTGTTGCTGGGCACACTCCCAGCCCGGGGCGAGACTGCTGATGGCATGTTCTCAGGAACACCAACATCCTCCTGGGGTTCCGAGGTAGAGCGGTTCGATTTACGGGACGCTTTAGCCTCCTTGCTGATAGACTTGGTTCCGTCTGTGTTTTCAGTCTCGTCAGTTGCACACGTCTGTTTGGGCGTGACGGCGGGACTTTGGTGCTCATCCTTGTCTGTACTTGGTTCATTTTCACTTATAACAGGCTTCCGCAACCAATCTAAAAGTGCATTTTTGGAACTCTTCTCTGCATTTGACGAACCACGAGACGGTCTCACCGCCGTTAGACTCTTCTTGTTCTTTTTGGCATCAGGAAGCTTTTTCTTCAGCGGGGTACTGTCAGCCCCTTCACTCTCAGACTTTGAGCGCAGTCGGGTGTTCACGGCTCGCGTCTTCAGTGAGTTCCGTATGTCCGACAGCACCATGCCAACTTCCTCTTCCGTGACCAGCTTGGGAGGGGACTCGGCCTCCTCGACTTTTCCCTCTTGCTTCTGTGCACTGACCTCGGTTGTCTCCTCTTGCTCACCATTCACAGAGCCCACCGCCGAGGCAACCTTCGTCTTTTCCTGAACACCACGCAGGGATCCTTCCGACGCACGACGCTGCCGCTTGGAACGTTTGCTTAATGAAACATTGGCCGACACTTCTCTAGCATTCTGCGCTAACTCTGGGGACTTCCCTGTTTTTGACGGAGACGCTGACTCTTGTGACTTTCCAGTTTTTGACGGAGATGTTAACTCTGGTGACTTCCCAGGTTTTGACGGAGATGTTAACTCCGGTGACTTCCCAGGTTTTGACGGAGATGTTAACTCCGGTGACTTCCCAGGTTTTGACGGAGATGTTAACTCTGGTGACTTCCCAGTTTTTGACGGAGAAGCGTCCTTTTTCTGCTCCTCTCCGACAGCCTGTGGTGAGGCTGACGCAGGCTCAGTGTCTTCATACACGGTCATCTGCATCCCATCGACTACCACCGTCCGAGGTTCGCTTGCTACCAGGTCACGTGTCACATTTTCACCTGATTCTCCAGCCCTCGTTCCATCTGGCACAGAGTTCTCCTCACTTTTCGAGCCCACATCTTCATCCATCCCTTCCTCACAAGAACCCATGTCTCCACTGTTTTTGACAGATTTCTGTTTCAAGGACTTCTTTCCTTTGATCACTGGCGACTCACCAGATCTGACGGAGGTCTTCACATCAGATCTCTCGGAGGTCTTCACACTTTCTCCTCCCCCGACACCGCCCGTCGCGGTCACCAATGCCCCTCTCTGTCCTTTTGACGGGGAGAAATGACTCCCCTCACCGGGAGCGGCTGAACTGCCTCTGTCCACAAACTCTGACGAGCCTACGAGTCCTTCATTGGCTGATACTTCCAACTCCAGGCCACTAGATCCTTCTCCCGACAATACCATTGAGTCTTTGAGTCCTGGCACATCGGAATGTTGTTTGTCCATTCCACTGCTCTTTCGTTTCTTCCTTTGAGGAGTCTTTTTCCTTCCTTCCCTCTCTCTGCTGTCACTTCTCATTTCCTCATCTCCATTCTGTTTTTCCTCTTCTCTTTCCTCGACAGACGAAACAAGCTGTTTGCTATCAGCTGATCTGTCCACATAGCCGAGTGAAGTCACTGCTGTCTTTCCCGTACTCCCTGCAGATTCGGATTGAACCGCTTTTTTCTTAGCGCTCCGTTCCAACGTGAGATCTTGTTCCATTTCCTCCACGACAAGTGATCTTTTCTTCTTTTTCTTCACACTACCCGTTTTTTCCTCCATTTGTTCTCCCTTTCCCAAATTAGCATCATCCACGGACGGCGGTGCAGTCTTTCTACGTTTCTTTGCCGGTGGATCATCTGACAGGATTTCCTGAAAAAAATATTAAAAAATCAAAACAAAAGAACAAACAACCTCAAACAAACAAATGAATGAGGAAAGGTTAGTAGACTGTGAAGTTAGTTTTAGAAAGAGTTTTACGGAACTTGCAACAAAATAAGGTCATATAAGTGCCGTTACAAGAGAGTAACAAACACACAAAAACAAGGAGGGGAGAAAAAGATGATAGATGCTGGATAGGAAAGAAGAAACAAACCACACCAGAGCACCCGCCAACGACCCACCCTGTGAAGTAGAAAGCTTTGAACAGAAGTGACCACTAAAGTAAGCGCCAAACAAAAAGTGAAATTCATTTAACACTAAGAATAACATGCACATTATTTCCAAAATTAGAACATCATCATCGTTAACACCATCATCATCAGTTATTTAGCTTTAGTAAGAGTTTTACAGCACTTGCAACACAATAAGGTCATATAAGTGCCGAAGAATAGGTGTGTTACAAGAGAGTAACTTACACATAAAAAAGAAGGAGGGGAGATAAGGATGATAGATGTTTGATAGGAAAGAAGGAGCAAACCACACCAGAGCACCCGTAAACCACCCACCACCACCATCATCACCAACTAAACAAATTTTCTTTTTCTTGTTATGTTTTTCCTCCTTGAAGCATAACAAAAAGCTTGACATGTTGTGAAACTGGAGATTTTTAACACATTACAGCCTAACTCGCCCGCGAATTCCCTTACGCGTTCCACCCTGACTCGCCCGCGCCTACCGAACGTCTTTAGAAACGAAGTGTCGCCTTGACGAGACCCTGGGGCCGGGATTTTGACTTGCATAGTTATAGCAAAAAGTTTCTTCTTTCGTTTGATACCAAAATATGACAAATCAGATGGCTCATATTTTGATGAAAACGTTGTAGCAAGAGTTTGGGGCGATTCAGATTGATCAGACACAGAAAATCTAGAATTTAGATCTAGGGCCCGACCGCGAGGCTTAGAGTGAGAGTGACGGGTCGGACACCCCGATTGAACTAAAGTTGGAACATTTCCAACAGTTTGAGCATACATAAAGTTATATTTTTCTGAAACTACATTCAGTTTTCTTTTTAACTTTTATTTTTTCAGGATTTTTGGAATTTGTTTAGTATTTTTAAAATGTGTTTTTTAAAGGCTAGTATTCACGGGAGGTGGGTTCTTTCCCCTTGCTTAGGATCTAACAATGGACTTCCCGTCCAGGTCCTTAGGGTGTCATGTGTTAACATCAAATTTCTCAAAAGTTGGTACTGAGCAAGATACAACTTCTGTAATTCAAGGGCAGCGACTTATCGAAGGAGACGTGAGCACCACGCTAGCGGAGCCACATTCATGGCTCTCAACTCAGAATGTTAAAAAAGGAGGAACTTTCTGCGCGATAGTGACATAAGACCATTTTCGCAAGACACTCATTTATCATTAAATATTTTCTGATTGGCTCGCTATAGCGGTAGTGGAGATTAGCGGAGGAAATCGCGGTAGCGGAAATCCGTTAAATAGGGGAATATTGAGACCCCTGCACATTACCTTGTCCTGTTGAGAAGTGCCGTGTGTGTCAATCACAAACAGCGGCGCCGCGTCACTGCTCTGGGCGGTAGACTGCGAGGCCTCGGGTGCATCCTCCACGTCTTGCTGCCGCGAGCCCAGGCACTGGGCAAACACCTGGCCAAAACACAAACATCAGCAATGAATGGTCATCGTCAGACACTGACGGTCAGGCTATTATTATCATCATCATTAGCAACGAATGTTTTCGTTCTGGAAAAAAAGTGATTGAAACCATTTGAATTTGGCACCTGCAATATTAATTTGAGTAATTTTGCATAAGCATTGACAGAGCGCGCTCATATGACCTTAGCAGTTGCGAGTGCCATAAAACCTTATACTATACATACATACATACAAAGGAAGTGACTTTGTAACTCTGAATGAGTGAATGAGAAACAGTCATAACAGATTATTGCAGAAGGGAGGAGCAATTTCAGCAAAATCTCTCATCAACGTGAGGAAAATGTAGTCATGATGCAAACACATCAAATGTTCAGTTTTAGTTTTAGTAAGAGTTTTACGGCACTTGCAACACAATAAGGTCATTTAAGTGCGGAAGATTAGAGGTGTTACAAGAGAGTAACAAACATAAAAGAAGGAGGGGAGATCAGGACGATAGATGTTCGATAGGAAAGAAGAAGCAAACCACACCAGAGCACCCGCCAACCACCTACTTCAAATGTTCTGACTACAATCTGGACAGTTTAAGGAAGCGTAAAATCAAAAGCCATTGTCAGTCAGTGACACAGCTGTGAGTGAGAGAATCTTATTATTTTTTTTAAAGGAAGGGGGGTGTGTGTGTGTGTGTCATACCTCAATAAGCTCACAAACAGCCTCCGTACTGAGCGACAGTAGCAGCTCCGACACTCTTCTTCCCTTCAAGCTTTTGTCCAGAGGGAAGTGATCCTTGGCCTCGGGCCACAGTTGTGACAGCCAGCCCACAAACCTCTGGGGAGCTCGCACATTCAAATTGGCCTGTGTGAGAGAGAGAGAGAGGTGGTTTTTAGTAAGTGTTTTACGGCACTTGCAACACAATAAGGTCATCTAAGTGCCGAAGATCAGAGGTGTTACAAGAGAGTAACAAACACAAAAAAGAAGGATGGGAGATATGGACGATAGACGTTTGATAGGAAAGAAGAAGCAAACCACACCAGAGCACCGGCCAACCACCCACAGAGAGAGAGAGAGAGAGAGAGAGAGAGAGAGAGAGAGAGAGAGAGAGAGAAAAAGAGAGAGACAGACAGAGAGAGAGAGAGAGAGAGACAGACAGAGAGAGAGAGAGAGACAGACAGACAGAGAGAGAGAGACAGAGAGAGAGAGAGTGAAAGAGAGAGACAGAGAGAGAGAGTACAGAACCCAGAGCTTATCACCTGGTGTACATACTTGTGTGTGTATGTGGATGAATGAGTGTATGATTGCACATGTACAAAAACCCTTGTACTATTGAGTAGGAGTGTTGTGTGTGTGTGCGCGCGCGCGTGTGTGCTGTTATGGTCAAAGAACAACATATTCTTGATAAAAAAATAATTGATATTTCACTATACTCAGTACAATCCTTCAAGAGGCCTTGTGGAAAAACTGTGTGGTGAACATTTCACAATACAAACAGATTCAGCAAAGTATATCAGGGTAAGTTTTAGTAGAGATTTTACAGCACTCGCAACTGCCTAAGGTCAAATGAGCGCCAGAAGATTAGAGGTGTTACAAAAGAGTAACAAAAATAAAAAAGAATAAGGGGAGATAAGGACAATAGATGTTTGATAGGAAAGAAGGAGCAAACCACACCAGATCACCCGCCAACCACCCACAAACAAAAACAACATTTTGACACCAAGCATGTGAGGCAAGAAGACAAAAAAACAACAACAAAAAAAAGCAAACATTTCCGAGAGGTTCAAACCTTAAAAAAATTAACCTAACCTATCAACATCTCAACAACTGATCTAGCTAGCCGCGACTTTGGATGGACGGTGGACAAACCTGCACGACATCGGACAAGTCGGCCGACACAAGACTCCAGCGTCGCAGAACCACCATGTGCAGCAGGTAATCCAAGACGCAGTCTCCACTTGGGGGCCGCAGGAGCAACTTCCTGTCAGAGGGGGGGGGGGGAATCCACCAAAAAATTATCATGACAAAAACAAACATTCCTTCCAGGACTTCAAACTGTCCAAAACAATGCCGCATGCAGTGTTCCTGCCATGAATTTCCCACCAAATTCAAGAAGATTTCAAGGAAAAATTATTAAAATTGAAGGAGATTTGGTCAAGAAATTAATGCCGAAAGCCTATTTCCGATAGGCCTACACAAGGGTTCCTGCCATGAACTTCCCACCAAATTCAAGAAGATTTCAAGGAAAAATTATTAAAATTGAAGGAGATGTGGTCAAGAAATTAATGCCGAAAACCTATTTCCGATAGGCATACACAAGGGTTCCTGCCATGAACTTCCCACCAAATTCAAGGAGGTATCAAAGAATATTTTTTTTTTAATTCAAGGAGATTTGGTCAAGAAATTCATGCCAAAAGCCTATTTCCCATAGGCATACACTTGTCCGAAAGTAACCGTAGTTTCGATTTTCCAACAAAAACTCTTTATGTCCAATCTGGCAAAATTCAAGGAGTTTTCAATTTAAGGAGGTCCCTCAAATTCAAGGAGTTTTCAAGGTAATTTTTCCTTGAATGCAAATTCAAGGAGTTTTCAAGGACTCTTTGAATTCAAGGAGGCAGCAGGAACCATGTGCACGTACGGAAAAGAAAGCGAGACTCTGCTAAACCTCTCTTACGAATATTGCATTGGCTTCCTGTTGAGAAAAGAATTGTGTACAAGTTAGCCACCCTATGTCACAAATGTTTAAATGATAATGCGCCATCATATTTATCAAATCTGTTGAGACTGTAAATTCCAACTCGCAGTTTAAGATCATCATCTGACAAAAAGAAATTTTTTTTACCAACTATGAAACTTAAAACAATATGTGAAAGGGCATTTGAATGTCAAGGCCCCAAGATCTGGAATGCTTTGCCAAGTACTTTAAGGGAGATAAAATCTTTTGAATCATTCAAATGTCAGCTGACGTCATTTGTTTTTAAATTAATAAGATGAATATTTGGGGTGATTTTCTTTTAGTCAGAACCCAACGTTTTATGTTACTGTTGTACATTGTACTGTCTTGTAAAGTGCTCAGAGCCTGTGTACTTTAATCGAGGTTGAGGGATATATATAAATGTCATGTATTATTATTATACCACTGGCAGTTTTTATGCTAAAAAGTGACATCTCAGCTTGTACCTCCAATAGGCTCACGCGACCATTCAATATCTCCCGAAGTACCATCAACAGTGGTTGCTTATATTCTTTACTTTTTTACCCGTTCCATGTCCTGGTTTTCGTGCCAATATTTGAAGGTTACGTAAAAATGTGTTGACATGGTGCCAATTGTTATGCTTCTAGAAAAACAAAACAAGAAAAAGGGGAATTGTTTAGTCAGTGATGATGATTTTTGAATTTTCATACTTTCTCTGACAGAAGGTTTATTTGCTCATATAAAGTTTGCCTCTGCTGAAAAGATGTCTACAGTCTTTAGACTCAGGTAGAACTTAGTAGAAGGCTTACAAAAAAGTAGCCTACGAAAATCTTTGCCAGGAAGTTCTTTCAAACCAGACATTTTATACCAATGAAGGTTACTGTTCGAGGAAAAATGTTGCTGTTAAAGGGAGTTATTAATACATTGGAAAAATTCCACTACGCAAGCTTAGGTTGCTGTTATGTGGAAGTTGCATTTATCTGGGGTTGCTGTTATATGGACACCACTGTAGTAAGTCATTGCCAAGTTCCAGTATTAGTCAATCAAAACCAAAATGCTCTTACCTCAACACCGGCAGCAACAGCAGGGCTCCGCTGGCATTGCACTGCGTCGCCTCCAGCAGGGCAGTTTTCAGGCAGCGGTCATTCAGGTCAAACAACAGCCAGCTGCAGAGCCGCTTGGACGACTTGACCACACTGTCGCCGCCGCTGCCGCTATGACACAGAGAATGAAGTAACATGTTAGTGAGAGTTTCATGGCATTTGCAACACACAAGTCATACAAGCGCCGAAGATTAGAGGTGTTACTTGAGAGGAACATATGAAAAAAAGGATTCGAGATAAGGACAATAGATGTCTGAAACAAGGAGTAAACCACACCATAGCACCAACCGACCACCCACACATTTAGCCTCAACCAAGAATCTGCATCAGATTGGTACACTATGTTCCTCTACTTATTTCAGCCATGATTAAGTATGTTCATCTATTATTTTCAGCCATGATAATCAATGTTCCCCAACTTCATTTAGTGATGATAAGCAAAAATTTCTGAAAACTGAAATCTTCACACACATCACCTCTTTATGTGAACTGACCCCATTCAAGCTCTACAATATGAGAAAAGTATCACTGCAGAGCTATAACAGGAGAAAGAAACAGCAGACACAAGCGCACAGAGACAGTCACCAGAATTTCATAATAATATCCAGTGCCCATTAGCACCATTGGTTTCGGTTCGGACCGGTTTGGTACGCAGGGCTAGCCACATAGAGGGCACACAGCGACCGACCATCGTGGCACAAACCGATCGCCCTCGTCGTTGCCTAAAAAACAGACATGTTTGTTTTCAAGGCCACGAGATGTGCGACTGCCGATCGGTTTGTATTAGAAAACTGATCCCACAATGGGCACTAGGTATAATAACAAATCTGGCTAGCAGTGTCCTAAACCAATTTCACAATGGTTATTATCTCTCTCTATCTGGGGGCTCCAGTGGCTAAGTGGGTAGTGAGTTCCGACTCAAGTAATGTCAAGCAAGTGTCGGTGACACGGGGATCAGATGGGTGGTCACTGGGGTGTGTCCTTGAGCAAGACACGACAATCCTAGCTCAAAATAAATAAAGGGTGCTGCTCAGTGGCGACCGACAATGGCATGGTTGTAAACCGTTCTGTATTTTGTGTAATATTGTGTATTTATGTATGTAGATCTAAATGTATGTTTGCCATTGTAAACCAAAGTGCCCTTCCAGGACAAATAAAAGTGTAATTTATTAATAAAAAAAAAAAAAGTACTTACCCATGAACTGTGACGAAGAGATCCACATAGACTGAAGCCAGCGAAGGTAGCAGGCCAATCATGTGAGAGTCGTACCTAACAGGAAATGCCTGTCAACGGAGAGGAGTTTTAGTTTTAGTAAGAGTTTTACAGCACTTGCAACACAATAAGGTCATATAAGTGCCGAAGATTAGAGGTTATACAAGAGAGTAACTAACACAAATAAGAAGGAGGGGAGAGAGAAGCAAACCACACCAGAGCACCCGCCAACCACCCACAAACTAGATAAGTTAAGGGATAAGATGAGAGATAAGATAAGATACACCTTTATTGTTCAGATCCTGGCACATTGGTTTGGTGTTTTACCATGTACACACATACACTCACACCAACATGCACACACACGCAGGCTTACAGCCACATGCATATTATAATTGAAAGGTAATATAAACAAGAATAATCTTAAGCTAGATACATACTCAGTATTCTGACTGTAACTAAATGTTATTATGACATATGCTCTAGTCATATGAATACTTGTAAAAAGATGGTTTAAGATGGAAGAATTTTGATGGATGATGGTAAAAATGACCTTCAGCAGAATCTTTCTTTGTTACAGATCAGACGCCTCTGTCTTTTACTTCTGACTGATTCCTTTAATTTGAGGGAACAAGGGATGTTTATTGTCCAAAAAGATGGAATTAATTTTTTTAGTACAAGCTGTAATGTACAATTCATCCAAGTAAGGGAATGTGTATATGTTGAAATTTTGCATGCTTTCCGTATTAATCGATTTAATTTTTCAAATGAAGTTAGAGGCAGTGTTCTTACTGCGGGGAACACTGCATGCACAGACCAAGGTTCAAAGAATTGTTTTCTTTTCCTTAATAAAACGAACATCTTCACATCAATGTAGCATTCTTCAACTGCAAGTATTCAATCTGATCTTTATTTATGCAACAATTCAAGCACAAAACACACTAAAAAAAAAAAGAAGCATGACAGCACATTTTACTACATGTTACATGCTCTTTCTACATCCATACACAAAAAGGAAAACTGTACCTCATTTGACAACGCAACCTGTTGTGCTGAACAAAGTGACCAGAAATCTCGCACAAGGGAGAGGACTTCAGACACCCTGAACAATGAACAGAAAAAAACCAATTGATAATCACATAACGATTTCTTGACCAGTGTCTAGACGTAAGAGAAAAGTCGTCACTGCATTTCTAAACCTTATTGAAAGTTGACAAGATTTACAGGTAATATAAAAGAGTACAAAGGGAGGGAAGAACCCAAGACGTCAACTTCTCTTGTCTGTCCCTGTCGTTTAATGAAAGAAAAATTTTGAAATTATACAAACTGAGTCCAAGAATATGAAATTATGCGATTCTGTTAATTTTAACAAAGAATGTTAAAGGAAAATAATAAAAAATTGAGCAAAAAGTTATCTAATTTTGCTAAATTATGCAGGGTGCATAAAACCCCGGGGACAGTATTGTATGCTCTCTGGGCATATTTCACATTTATTACACAAACAAGAATTCTAAAATTCAAACTCAGTGTACACATCTTATTTAATTTCCTCTACTTTATTTATATGCAGGCTGACTGACTGTCTATTTCTAATCTTTCACTGTGAAGAGATCTACCAATATTGGGGTAATGTTCGTCTTTCGTTTCTTTTTTGTATTTGTACTGTCTAATTTTTGGTCAAACTATCTAAAGTTGACCATAAATCTACCTGAAATAGGAAATAAATTTGAAGTATGGAGCCCTACAGATATATTTTTCGGGACCCATCTACTATTGCCAGAAAAACTCACAACTTTGCATCCTCTGCAATTGCTTCCACTTGACTAGATATCTTCCTGAGGAGAACAGCATTTGAAAAGAACAAATAAAAGCTGTCATTATATTTATTTTGAAGCATAATAGCTAAGTACATAGTAAAATGAGAACAAAGTAACTGTATATTAATGAACAAAAAAGAAACCTCTGTTGCAATGCTGACCTGCCAACCACTCCATGACCAAAAATAGGAGTTTTCCTGTGATAGGATAGTATCCTTCCAACCCCCCCCCCAAAAAAAAAAACCCCAAGGAGCTAAGTTACGTAACAAAACAGAGACTGGTAAATAAATAAGCATAGCAAATACACGCAAAACAAAACCCCCCCCAAAAAACAAAAATAGAAAAAGAAAGAAAGGCGTATTTTAATGTCATTTACCAAGTCGCTTCATGTCATTCACGAGTCGCTTATAATCGATTGAAGCAGAATCCGATCAGGGATTTTTATCAAAGTACCCGACAGGTCTGGCAATGAAAGTGTTCGGGTTTGTAAATCATCATTAATTATCAGAAACCCACACTTTTCTCCTTACTGGAGAAAGATTAAAAGCATAGAATAAGCAATAAATGAAAAAATTATGATACGTTATTGAGAAAGTCTATAAGGCTTATAGCCCACAATAGTAAATGGCAAGTCACACACAATAGAGCTGGCTTTTGCTACAACAGCATGGATAGGACAGTCTTTTTCACAGTAGTGGTAAATAAATTCCTTTTTATACATAAATATAAGTCAAGCTGATGTCAAAATCAATTGCAAAAGACAAATTTATAGTAGCAAAAATGTGTAATAAACAATATGCCTATTCTCCCAAGTGCTTCTAAGTGGCAGGAATCATCAAGACCATCACATATATAATACAACATGATACAAGGTATACCAATCAATTACAACAACCTATTCTTGGTGTGCACAAGGCAAGAACGATAGAGGATGTGTTGTCGATTACTCAATTAATCATGACATCAGCTGACAACAATCTCTTACCCGATGAAGAGCTGGACCAAATTTTTCAAGCCATCAAGATGAGTGGTGAGGGGCACAAGGGAATTGAGAAACCTTACTGTGGGCAGGATAGAGGCTTTTCTTTGACTCTGTGAGAGAAAAAATTCCAGTAGCCAGATGAATGATGGGTACAGCAACACCAATTAAGGGGGTGTAGCTATGGTCAACACCCAAATGCTATAGTTTTTGGTCTAACGCTGGCTTTTCTGCATCAAAGGCGGTGACATGGTACAAAAAAGGGTACCAAGCAAAAAAATTCAAGATTTTAGCCATAATAATCTCAAGCCATCAAAAATAAAGGATTGATTCAGCATTTTTAAAACCAATTTTATATTTTGTCAATCATCAACACTCATCAAGATAGAAGCCTAATATTTGGCATGGTGAATACTGTTGGTATGTAGAACAACCTTACAGAGCCAAATTTGAATTTTCTGTACGGACTTGTGAGCCTTACACTCTTTATTATGCACTACATTCAGGTCTCCAATATTTTAAGATTTTGTAAAATAAAAAAGGCCTAAAACTCAAAATTTGTTCCATAAACAGCAAAAATGCTCCTGTAAGGTTATAGAGAAATGAGTATAAAAGATTGTGTCCAAATTTGAAACACTTCTGACAGTAACTTTCTGAGATCTGCTCAAAAAATGTTGCTACCTGGTCAGATAAACAATTCTGAGAAAACTGCAAAGAGAGATAATTTTTGGTGAAGATTTTCCTACATTACTACCTCTCTCAAATGCATTTTCCAGCTATTTCCAAGTTTGATAAGGAATCAGGCTTCTAAAGATGGATCCTTGATATTGATATCTATTAAGATACTTCAAAATCCGAAAACTGATATTTTTTCAAAATTTTTACTGATCTGACCAGTGGATCCCCTTAATACCTCAAAATAAAAATACATTACGAGAGTGACTTTGAACTTTGGTAAAAAGTACAACACGACAAAGGAGAAATCACGATCTGACTTCAGATGAGTTAAAAGATGCTTAAAAAACCAGAAAGAAGGTCAAATGGTCAAATTTGGTCGCTTTTAAGCACAAGGGGGCTATCCCGAAAAATGCTGTTCTGAGAAAATCGAAGGTAAAGTTTTTGCCCATTGCTCAGTTTCTTTTAAAAGATAAGGAGTTTTTCCCATAAAACCAAACAAATATACACACCAATGAAGCCAAATTTCTCATATATAGGAAGGGCAATGCCCTCTTTTGGTGTAGGTCAAGGTTTCTGGAAACCCCCGAAATCTGGGTTAGTCCCGCTTGTCCTTAAAAACGAACATTTTAGCTTTACGAACAGAACATTTTGCCATACAGTCGAATCTGTCCAAGAGGACGACCCATTGTCGAGTAGAAAAGTGTTCATCCTAGACAGGCGGTCCTCTTATACAGATGTCAGATGTTCGTTAGAGCAGAATCAACTTTATTTGATACATTCATTTATGGCAAATTTCCTGGTGGAATTATCATCTGAAAAGAATTGTCCTTAACCCTATCTGTACGCCCTGGGGTTATTTTGAAATCCCGGGGTTGTATTCTTCACATTTTAGAATACTTCTAGTGCGAAGTATTTCTCAAAAAATCATTTTGACAGCCTGCAATGCAAAGCGTACGGATCGGATTAACGAGTTAATTTCCTCTTTAAAAGTGGTGGCACAGAGTTCCCCACGACGTACGGGGATACGATAGTAAAACACGAAGTACGGATAGGGTTTTATTAAAAGAAACATGTTGGTTTAACAGGCATAATTGAGATACTACGCAATATAAAAATAGGAAGAGGCTAGCCGTACTTAATGACGGCTAGACTGCCGACGGCTAGACTGGCAGTCTAGCCGTACTTATTCTTAATATGATGGCTAGACTGACCATTTACAAAGAATAGGCCTACTGAATTGTAAATATACATTTTTAGTGTTCAGTACCTAAAGTATTTGTGTATTTGAGACGAAACCAGGTGCCTTAATGACAGTGCATGTATTTTAAACCTCCTGTTTTCTAATGTTAATAGGGCCTAAGATAAGTACGGCTAGACTTCTTGTCTAGCCGTACTTAAGTACGGGTAGACAGCCAGGCTAGCCGTACTTAAGGACGGCTAGACTGTCAGGCTAGCCGTACTTAATATTGATGGCTGAATTGTAAATGAAATTTTTAGTTTGCAATGCCTAAAGTATTTGTATTTCAGACAAAACCAAAAGGTGCCTTACTGACTTGCATGTATTTGAACCTGAATAATTACTAGATCTAGATCTAATGAGACCTGTGTACTTAACAGGCTTGAGTCGATAGGGCCAAACCTAGATCTAAGTACGGCTAGACTGGCAGTCTAGCCGTACTTAAGTACGGCTAGACTCTCAGTCTAGCCGTACTTAAGCCACTTCGATTAAAATAAATAAACAATGAATTGTAAATCAACGTAAGTCACAAGCCCCCCCCCCCTCCCCAAACCGAGTTCTTCAGCCCAAGAAATAAAGGAACAGGTCAAGGACATACCTCTGTGCTGTTCAAATTCTCCAAGAGATTGCAGCCAGATTTGTGGAGCGCTTGTAGCAGCAATGCTCGGTCTGTGGGCAAAACAATTTTGTTTGTTTGAGGAAAGAGAAGCACATCAAAACAATAATGGCCATATTAATGCTGGGAAAAAGTTAAACACATTGACAGTTAACTCTGGATCAATAAACGGGACAGAAAAACAACACTTCTCTCTACCCACTTTTAATGTCTCCTTTGTGAATCAAAACTTTTCACATACTTAAGACTTAAGAATCTATCTCTTCCATAATTGGTTCTTTTCATTTTCTAAATCTAACAATTCAATAAAAAGAGTTCGAATTTTCAAGCCAAGTAACACAATATTCATGACAAGTCAAATAATAATTCATCTTTTACAGCATTCTTCTTCACTCCTCCCTTCAAAGACTATTCTGATACTTGATACTTGTCAGCATCTCAGTTACCCAAATTATTAGAAAAAATTATGCCGGGTGTGGCTCATGCCCCTCCTTACCTCGGCTTGTATACATCATCTTCACCAGTGGCACCATGCACTGACTTTAGAACCTCCGAACTAACCCTGCTGAGGAAACATATAAAAAGACAAAATAAGAATGGCAAAAGGAATCGAACATTTTAGTAAATTTTAATTAGTAAATAGATCTAGAGATCTCGATCTAGATCTCGTATAACTTTAACAGGCACAGTGACACAGGCCAAAGGCCCAGACTCATGTTCTAATTCTATCATGTAAGCTAATCTAGATCTTTAGGACTTTACTAGAATAGATCTAGATATTATATATCTAAATTAAATCTCTTCTAGGGCAGACTAGGGCCTTCTGGACTCACAGGCCCAGCCAGGCAGAGGCGAGCCATCATCATATCTATGACTATGAAACGCAATTCAATTTCAGATTTCATTGAGTATCATAAAGGCAACCAGAAAAAGCCAGTAACATAACTATGTAATAATGCAAAAACATTACTGACATTGCACAAGTCTACAACTACAGTAATAATGGATCTAAATAATTGACATGCGGCCGACCATGCCTCTTACCCTGAGCATTGGAAAATGAATACGAGTGGATTGTTTCGTTCTCAATATTTTGCATCTTACTTTTTCCGACGTAGGCATCGTACTTATTTCTTTCGCTGTACAATTTATCATCTAATTAATTTTGATTGACCGAATGCAGTACCTCGGTTTGATAAGACATTATAATGAGGGGACAAAATGTAAACAAATTAATCATTTATGATAACTGGTTATGAATCAATTAAGATTCTTAATATAGGAATAGGAAACCAGCTGATGGAAGGGCTAAGATCTTTGACTTTTTGTTTACTCCTCTTTGTCTTTGGCTTTGGATTGAGATTACTTCTTTGATCGAGTCTTCTGTACTCCTGTGAGCTAAACTATAATATTTTCGAATACGTACATTTTTTTCTGGACTTGGTTGATAATATCTTAAGATGTAGTGATCCATATTTAAATAACAACTCATTACATTCAATATGAAGTGTATCAGTTCTTTGTTTTTAAAAAATAAGTTGATACTTCTGCGAAACTGAATCAACGCTGAATGTAATCGGAAATGTAGAGGATGCTGGGATCGTTGACAATGTTGTGGAGAAGAGAAAAGGGAAAATAACTGTAGTGTCGTACCGCTCGATCAACAATTTCTACTGGTATCTGAACGGTTATTATTTTTTACTGATACTGATGTTGCTGTCTAGAGGAAAAGCAGCCAGTTTTACTGACATCCTTATGTCTGACAAACCACATTGATTGGGAGATCACACACTGGAATCATGGAACACGACAGAAGGCATCCGATGAGTGAGTCTGCTGCTGCTCACCGACACACAGAATTCAGAATACAGCCGCTGACCAGTTACATTCCTTTTTCTTGTGGCCGATTTAATTTTATTCACTCCAAGTCAGCAGATGGTCGGTGTAATAGCCAAGTATAAAGGGGAGCTTAAGGAAATTGAGTTTATTCACATATTGTTGTTGGCGTAATAATGGTTGAGTGCAGTAGAAGACCTACAACAGTTCATTTCAAGTCAAGGAAAATTGCACACAGAGTTTGAAGTTAGAATCTCTAGAATCTAGAATCTAGATATATATCTAGATTTTCTTAGAAATTGATACTGAACTGTACATGATGATTTCACAAATAATATGAGAAACTACCATAATGAATAAACTTAATTTCTTTCGTCAAGATTTATTCTGTACCCAACCACGATCTGAGAATTTAGAGTGAATAAAATGATATCGGACAAAAGAAAAATCAGAGATGGTCAGTGACAGGGCAATTTTCCAGACCAGGAACATTGTCATTGTCAGACTTAGTCGACATGGGTAATTCATAAAGTAAGATTCGACCCTTGGATTTCCATGGTAACTAGGCCTATTCAGTTCTATTGTTTTCAGTCCAACTATAAAACTGACTGAAACATCCTCGGATGCGTTAATCAAACTTATAATATAATAAAAGTTAACTACCCTTCCTTTTTGTGACAAGGCCTCTGCCTCTATCATACTCATACTAACACTCTATGTTTGTATTGAGCAACAGCAGCTCTTCTGGAAAAGACCCTGTTGAACAAAATGAACATGGTGCACCACTATGAGATCGGCTGTAGTCACACAAGGGAAGTAATAAAAGTCAAAAATAAAGAAATATTTATTAGGCTAAAAGTAAAAGGATGTTTGTGGTGAATTTTTCAGGAGAAAGTGAAAGTAAGACAGGAAAACAACAGAAAACAGTAGAGTTATGAGAAAGGGTAATCTGAGGGTCAAATTTTTACCTTATATAATAAAAAAGTTATATAGTACGCGAATCCACAAAGTCTGAAAAAAAATGTTTCCAACTGGAAGAATGCCATAATTATAATCAATACTTTAAAAAAATGTTATCATTTGAATTCATATTTGAATTTTACCTAACCCTACCAGTGCTTGGCAAACAATTATTCTGGAACTGAAAGAGATTAAAATCCTATCGTGCAGTCTTACGACAATTTCTAGAAAAGTCAAAAGAAATGTTGTCTTTGGAGGTATAGAAAGATTTAAACGATACTCACAAAAGGAACCTTAAAAGCCTCGTTTGCCTCTTGTTTTGTTTGCTTGTTGGCAACAAATATAATGACAACATTAGCAAGACAATCTGCAAAATAGAGTTTTATTACAGAAGCAGGCTAGTTAATATTTAAATTTAATTAATTCAGGGTTGTAAATCATGATGTTGATGAGGTTGCTCTTCCTCCCAGCAGCCTGGATTCACACTCACAAAAAAAAAAAGCTTATTTAATAATAAAAATAGACTCAGAGGCTCATTCAGTTTGTATATTCTTTACGGTAGGATTTTATCTCTTTACTTTGTGTTCGAATTTTTCAGGTGGAAAACCAATTTGGCAAATCAATTGCTTTTAGGCCCAGGCCCAAGTACATAATTTACTGCTTTCACAAGTGTACATTAACTCTTTAAACCCCATCTGACGCTGGTAGCGTCCGGTGGTAATAACCCTGTTCCCCATCGTACGCCAATACCAGTGACAACTTAGCAATGCCAATCGGGCTTTTCCGCGAGGCGAAAATTTGGTCCCCGTTTACGGGCGATTTTGCGGACCCGGCCGAAGCGTAGGTGACTAACTTTGTCAACCTCGGTCTGCTCTATTTCCGAACCAATCCGAATGAAACTCGGCAACCAATCAGAAAATAGGGCAAACTAATGATATGTGGACGTTGAAGTTCGTACAC